AAACATCACTGCAGTGCTTGTCCTGCTTGCTCGCGTTTCTTTTACAAAAGGGGTCCGTAAGGAAACTTCGTGTCGAGCCCTGGCAAGGTGCAGATAGATAGGACCCCAAAGCGGTTGTTTGGCTAATCAAAGAATGGATGCGATCTTCCTGAATACAAAACTAAATGTTGGAGGCTAATATGTTGGAGAAGTAGGTAGAAAGTAAGGGAAATGTTGTTTACCCCTAAACTTTAGCCTTATCCCTTATCTATGATTATCAGCAAGAGTAATACCATAGCAACGTATAGTAATTCCCATTTTCAAGCATGCCCGGTATATTTCCAACCGTACTAGCAGCAGCTACAGCGACAGCAACCAAATCGGCTGGAACACAGTCAAAGGAAGTAGCAAAGTCTGAAGGATCTTCTATAATCGACTCCTTACAAAAAATCCCAGAATCTTTAAACATTCCCAAATCTCTGACACCTGAACAAGCAAAGGCTCTGGCGGTCTTAGCTGCTGGCACCGCCGTTCTTAGCGGAGTGATGCTGGTTGTGTACTACAGAAAGAAGGTATGAATGGATTAGCTCATACATTTAACATCTAAGCTTAAATCTTGCAGAAAGGGCAAGGCGGAACCCAGAAAACATCTACTCGAGATGGTAAGTGGGAACTAAGCGAAAATGTCTATTCTTTCAAATGCTCTTATCCATACGTTAGGAGGTGCATCTAAAAACAAAAAAGGATCGACAAAAAGTGGATCTACACAAACAGGAAAGAAAACAAGCCGTAGAAAGTGAGAAGAATTGGGGTTCAAATAAAATGAAGAATAGTTAAGCATGCAAGCAATAAATATTCTTCGATGCCATATTGTCCAGTGTGCATTATGAATAAGGAAAGTCAATGTGCAAATTCAACAATTCGAAACAGTGCCTACTTATAAAAGCAACGATTAACCAAAAAACGTCACTCTCTGCCAATGGTTTGGTAAAATTCCTCACATTTAGCCATTATCTTTTTTGAGAAACTTCTAATGATGAACCTATTGGCGTTCCATTCTCTTATGCACATGAAGCTCGGTTATGCTTTATAAGATCATTAACTTCTTTT